TGTGTGTGTGTGTGTGTGTGTGTGTGTGTGTGTGTGTGTGTGTGTGTAGGGGTGTTTTATCTTGAGAGATTTCTCTGAAAATAATACTTTGTTTGGATCTGTTTTTTTATTCTTTTTAGGAGCATATTATACACAAAAGGAAAATGGAAATACCAGGAGATAAGCTCTATTATTTAAAGAGGGGATCTATTGTTGCAGCATCAGGATAGTGACTTAGATTTCCCAATGCCTCTCTCTTGTGGCAGGCCTGAGAACCAGATTCAGGCAAACACCATCGTACCCATGTTCCCCAGCACTGGTGAAGGTTTCAATAGTTCTCCTCTTAAGGATAAGAATAATGAGGCATGAGGAGGACCTGAACTTACCCACAAGCCCCTGGTTAGTAACTACCAGAAGCAGGAGGCAACCCATTGCCATCTGATCACAATCATGGGTTCTTAGAATGGCATCGTGTGGGAATGCAGAGAACTCTCCTGGAGAGAATGGTGCTCAAGTACTGAGGGTAGCAGGCTGGGCGAGTGTGGGGGCAGCTCAGACCAAACAGTCATGCCCAGCTGGCCTCTGCATGATGCTAAGTGCTGTGAGGGAAACATACAGGATTCAGGACAAACATCTACTTACTGGCATAGGGTGAGTTGGCAGCTGAGCCATTGAGGAAGGTTGGGGAGCCGCCCAAATTGGACATGGCAGCAGAGCCGTAGCCATTCATGCTCGTAGTGACAGAGTTATAGTTGGTCTGCTGAGGGGTGGTGCTCGGCACGTATCCGTGTGGTGACACGCTGCTTGAGTTGCGGGTGAAACCTGAAAAGTTGGGGAAAAACCAGGGGCGAGGGTAGCATTGAGATGGTGCGTTCTTGAGAGATATGGGTATCAGGGAAGAACATCTCCATTATTACCCCCTCACTGCAACTGAGAGGGGGAAAAAACCCTGATGATTCATGTGCATGGGTTGGTGGTGCTATCTCTGTGATTAAAATGAGAAGCTAGCAAAGACACATTTCTTAGGAGATCATAAATACTTAGCAGGGCTGTGAGAAGTGGCAATGCAAGGTCTATAAATTATCATTTGGGAGCAGGAATAAATCGCAATCTAAGAGATGTTCCCTTGAGTTAACAGGTCCCTCTTCCCTGGGCAAGAATGATGTGTTGTGGCCTATGAGAACTTTAATTCCATCCTTCTTTGTGATCTGTCATTCATGATTTATGGTGAAAAGTTGGATGTAGAGATGGCTGAATGCATGCATGCATTCTTTCCAGCCCCCTACTAGGTCTCCAGATGTGAAACTAGAAACAAAATCCTACAATAATATTTGATACACACAACTGAAGAATCTTCTCTTTGGGAAGAAAATGGTTGTTTGTTTTGTTTTAATTATTTGATGTCAAGTAAATGGCAGAGATGGGGATAGTGGGAACTTGAGTTTGTCAAGGGGCAGGGGGAATGGAAGAGAGGTTAAGAGGAGGACACTGACCTTGATTGGTGGCTTGTGATGCCTCAGAGACATTCACAGCCAGTTGTCCACTGAAGGAATTCACACCCATCATCCCTGCGTGGACCGAAGTGTTAGCAAGGGCTGGGAGCTGGTTGTGGTTGCGAGGGACGCTGTACAGAGCCTCTGCAATGTCAGCAGCTCTCTTCAGGATAATCTCCTGAAAAGCCAAAGGCACATCATTGTTAGCTACCCCAGTTCATATTCCCAATAGCCCCAACTTTTTGTGCTTTCTTTCTGACAGATCCAGTGCTCACAGCCTTTCATGGTCAACTGTCTTACATCTGTATCCAGTTGACACACCTGTGATGGCAAGTTTCATTATCCTGACCACAACATAGTTGGGGAAACTGAGGCTGTGAAAGGCATAGTGCTACCTCAAAAACATTCACTTCCTTAAAGATAGAGCTGAGACCCAGAATGCCAGTTGCTTGACTCTGAAGCCTATAGTTGTCAGCATGTGACAGTACTGTGGGATTTCCCTTATCCTTCACACATCGAACTCAGGACCTGAAATTCATGTTATCTGATGCCACGCAAGGAAGCCAATGTCTGAGGATGGGTACAATTGCTTTTTGAGTAGTGACTGCAGGAGAGTGGGAAAAGAGTGAGCTTGGCCAGTCTTAGTTTTCCAAGCGGCTTCAGTTCTTTACATACCATTGTTCTAGGAAGCATGCATAGAAAGTATATTTGGGCCCCATTCTGTATTTTAGGAGAAGAAATTAAACCTTTCCTTCTTTTAAGTTTGCTGGGAAATAAGATAAAATACAGTAGCTCTCTTCTTCAGTTAGGAAAGCTCATTCCCAGTTGAGATTCAATTTTAAGGAGAGAACACTTTTTCCAGAAAGGGAAATGGTGCTGTAGAAGATTTGCAAAAGCAGTGAGGGCTGAAGAGCCCTGAGACACGTCACATCCCAGATCCTTAGGTTCTTAACAGGTGAGTATTGCTTTCATAGGTTTGGGGGTTTTTTTCTCAATGCTTTCTCATAGAATAAGAGCTCTGAGGTCTTTCTTTGTATGGAGAAGTACTTCACTAAGTTAAAGACCTGGAAAACTCACCTGGTTGTTGTGGGGCATCCCGTACAGGGCTTCAACAAGATCTGCAGCCCTTTTAAGGATCACTTCCTGTCAAGAAAAAAAAAAAGAAAAAGAAAAAAGATAGCAGGTTATCCTTATCTTTCATATGACAGCTTCCCCATTCTTCTAGGGATTCTTTAGCAAGGCACAGTTGTAAAAGCTTGGGGCCCCCTGGAATGGTGTTAAGTTACCAATTTATCATTGTTCATATACACACTTAATTGAGTCAAAAGGTGAGCATCATTGGCACTGCAAGATAAAATACATCACGCAGTCATCTGCCATAAAGCACTCATATGTTTATTGCTGAATACAATTGCGTGGTCATTTACAAGATTACTATAATCGATGTCATTCAGCACATGGTATGAATCCCTGAGATGTGTTTATTTTGCACTTAATTGCTTATCCCAGAAACCATGACCTTATCAGACAGGTCATTTTCAAGGAATTTCCAATCAATCTTGAGCCACTAAATAAGCATGTAGCCTTAAGCTTCTTTTGTTTGTCTCTCTTGTATGGCAGAGCTATGAGGACGTGATCAGGAAGCTCACACGCTGAAGAAACACGATGTTGATCGAGAAGTCTCTTATCCCTAGAAGCCCCAACTGGGCAGGTATTCATGACTGGTAGCTTTGATTTCTTATGCTGCAATTCTTTGCTGTTTCTGCAGCGTTTGTGTGTCTTCTCCCCTGGTCACTCGTTCTCCTCCTATGTACTTTACTCCTAATTCAGGTTGAAGAAAAAGTCACTTCCTCTTCCTACTAAGGTAGGCTTCCACATTTGGACTGCGTGTGTCTAATCAGTTGGGGCACTATACAAAAACACACCTTTGGGCAAACAGTAAGTCATTCTCTCTCCAGTTCACCTGAATTGTCTACAGATCCATCTACACCAGAATAAGGAAAAGACAGTGGTAACATGACGCTTAGCACTGGTAAAATGGTGGATCAGCAAAGAACCACTCCCAAGAACATAAGGTAGAAAGGTGACTTCTCAGAAGATCTGTTTACTGTAGTTCAGTGTTGATAAAGTTGCAAATAGAAGTGTAACATTAAAATCGGGGGCCTTGGAATGGGAAAGCGGTGCTGTTCAATTTTCATACGCTCCAGACACTGATCAGAAAATAGGGCTGTAATTGCATTCATTTCGCTGTCACCGTAGCCTCTTCAAAAATCCTTGAACAACTCTTTAAATGACAAGCTTTTAGATATATATTAGCATTTTTCAATTTGGAATTCTCCACAATATAAGATAAAACAGTTGTCATAGTGCAGTAACTACTTATCACATATATAATGTCCTAAATTCAAAAACGAGATAGAGGAGTTTCTAGTTCCCGATAAACATTGATGCTTACCTTAAGCTCACAGGCCCTCCCCCCCCTTTTCTAAAACAATTCAGTCACTTTTCATGCAAGGGGTAGAAAGAACAACACAATCAGTGGAATTTGAACCAACATATCTAAAACCAGTCCTCTCCTTTTTAATGCAAGCTACAAGAGATTCACCACTTTTTGTTTGCGATCGTATCTGACCACAGCGGTTAATAACTGACCACAGCATGGGCCCACTAAATCCTATCTCCAGCTCAAATTCAGCTACTGCCACTTCCACCAAAACCTCGTGGCTTTATCTGGCTCTGAGGAAAAATTAAAGCAAAAGAGCATCGACTTGGTCCATTTATGAAAATTTTCACCATCTCGTCATTTACTAAAAGATTCAATATCTATGTGTCTATGGTCACACATTTCTCCAGATAAATATTTGTGCTGGTATTTGGGCTCTGCTAGGAAGGTAGTTCTCTCTATCTACATTTTTGGAGAAAAACAAATATACAAATCTCCTATTTGTCAAACTCATGATGCAGTATCTAAGAGTGGAGAGTTTCAGCCTCCAACACTGTAATCAGATATTGTAGCCACCTTTTCAATGTTCATTAATTTCACAAAATCAGGGAGAAAGTGAGTTCAGAAAAATGGCAAAAATCTTATAATATTTTATAAATCTGAAAAATTCCTTTTTGTTTTCTGGTGGCCAACTTTTTCAGTGATATTACCAACCTGCTAGTTTATTCAGTATGAGAAGCTGGTCATTATTTAACCATTTGAAAGGGAATCACATAGATGGTTCTTTTCCTGCTCACACTGGACCCTTTCAGCCCTCGGTATCACTGACTTTGATTCATGATGGTGGGGCTTGTTTTACCAACCCAGCACATGATCACAGGCCTGGAATCAGCATAATGTAACTCGAAGCCATCCTCTGAATTTCAAGGAGAATGAACCTAGATTTCTTGCCTAGGAAAACTACAACCTTAAATGATACCTCACCCATCTGAAAGTGTCCTTCACCAAAGTATCAAATTGGGGGTTTTTAGGGAGACCCACATTTGGTTTAGAGCTTATTTGTGCAAATGGGGAGGAAGAAAGACATCCCTAGGTCCTCCATGAGTTAGTGCCACAGACCTGCAAGGTGCTTGGATTTCGGTGACCAGAAAATTGCTCTCACCTCCATGTCATTACGTTCCCAGTGAACTAGCCCCCAAGCGTGTTTGTGTTGGGGATCTAATATATTGCCTTTCAATCAGAGCTGAGAGCCACTGAACACAGAGACAGAACATGACGAGCAGGTCAGGAAAGCAATAAAGATTTTACAGAGCTGTCCAAGGTGCTAAATTTACTCAATAATGGGTTTGGCACCATAGTGTTAACCTCTCATTTACTACCAGTTTGAGGGACTAAATTGAAGTAGCTGACTTCATTTACCTTGAAATGTATATTTTATGACATTATGTAAGTAGATTGAAAGGGCACCGCAGTTTTAACAATTTAAAGGCTAAAGCATGTTTAAGATGAAACTTGAATATTTATTGTATATTGCACTTAAAGTATATAGAATGTTAAAATGTATTGATTAAATTTGTAAAAGGCATTATAAAAGTGACAGGTAGTATAAGAGATGTATGCCTTTTAAAATCAAATTGATAGTGTGCGCTATCTCTTCTGTGGCCACAAGTGTAATTTTTTTGCAGTTTTATATGGTAATTTTAAAAAATCTGTAATTTCACATTAGGAAATGATTGAGCCTAAGGTGTTGTTTTTTTTTTAAAGAAATTTCCCACCAGGGGAAAAACTTGATATTTCATATAGTATTTTGTCTTGGAAATTATTCCTTAAGTCCTATTTTGGTGGCATTAGGTGGGAGTAAAGTAGATGGAGTCTTCAATTCTAATATTCAATTTCAATATTTCTGAAAAGAAGAGGTACTTGGCTAGCACTAATATCTAATTTTTCAAGGCATTCACTTGTCAGGGAGATTTTCTCTTCTTTTCATAATGATAAAATATCCCCCTGCTCTCATTTTTTAAACACAAGGGTAGAGATTAGAGTCTTCCAAATAATTAATCCTATACTTGGATTGCAAAACAAAATCCCATTGGAGAATACAAAAGACATCCACGAGTATCCTAAATATTGAAAATCTCTAGAGCCTCCTGTAAAGACTTAATGCTTGTTCTCCAACTAAAATTCTGAGTCTTTTTTTTTTTTTTTTCTCTGCATGGCCCTGAAGTTTTAAAGAAACAGAGAGTGTTTGCTCTTAAAAACAACTTCACATTGAACTTTTTCCTCTTATAATCACAATCTGTATTCTCCTCCCCTTCAGTGGTCATGAAGTAATGACTGCACAAATGAGGGATTTAGAGGGGGAAGGAGCTATGTTTCTAAATCTGTTGGGAGATAACAGGAAAACAATAGAGACCCAAAGAGGAATGGGGTTCCAAGAAAGTGTTCAGGTGTAATTGCTCTGTGTGTGTGTGTGTGTGTGTGTGTGTGTGTGTGTGATATGTATGTATGTATATGTATATCATATGTATACATACATATGATTTGGGATCCCAATCACTATTAGGCCGCAAGCAACAGTCCATTTTTTTTCCTGTTTTAATCTAATAAAATGGTGAGTTATTTCTACTCATGGCCTTAGGGTGTATCATTGTCCAGCTGCTTTGAAGACTTGTCACCCTCCCAGAACTGAACTTCAAGGTTTCACAAGGACTATCCTTCATCCTCTGCTCGGTCTACTCCATGCAATCTTCTTTCCCTGTGGTGCTGGAGAGCTGTTTTCAGTTTAGCTCTAAGCAATTCTCATGAACCTAGAGGCAAGATGGTGGGCTCCTTCTTTGCTGTCTCCTTACCCAATTCTTCTCGGAAGTAACCACCAGCAAGACCCACCCCCAGAGGCTGGGAGTACCAACGGTGGGTATTACGGCAGAGAGGGTGAAATACAAACTCATCCGGCCTTCATGGAGGCCTTCTCTAAAACTACTGTCCATAACCCCTTTTGGCAAATGAGGAAATGGAGATTCAGACAGGTCAGCTAATTTTCTCTGAGTGTACACAGCTGAAGAGCAGCTGAGCAGGGATTCAAACCCAGACCTGTTACACTTAAGAACTCAAGACCTGGACAGCTATTGTAATCCATCAAAAATTACCTCAGCTTTACTGCTACCCCAGTCATTTAGCTCTTTCCTCCCAAGAATAGTGTTGACCTTACCACCCAGACCTGCATAGCGTTATGCTGTAAGTTATTTTGCTCTGGTCTGAAAGATGCAAGCCTTCACTGTCCACCACTAGATGACAGACTCTTTTCGAAGCTCCTAAAACAATCCTCAGCGACATCCAGGTGACGTGCCCTCCTAGGGAGGGGTCTACTCTACCAGTTCATCACTGATCTTCTCAAAGTGCACATCTAATTTATATTAATGTACCAGCGGTGGATTTAGTGAAATTCATAAAAGCACAAGAGTGAAATTTGGCATTCCATTTGCTGAATTTTTATCCAATGTGTAAATTCCCATGGTTGAGTTCTGATCACTGTATCTTTTTACTTCACTTTTCCTCTTAGGAACTTGCTCTTTGGTGTTTGCCAGCTTGAAGTTACATTTCTAACGTCGTGGTTAATAGAATAACTCATGTTAGGACATTACCTCAGGTTATAGGCATCTAGCAACATGAGTCTGGTCTTAGTGTATTTCAGCTTGTTATT